GCATTCATCATAGCTGTGTAAGACATAGACATAAAACAGATCTAAATAGATACAAATAGATTTCAAAGTGATAACACAATGCATGGCATCTTAACCTAGCTTTAAAATGCAAGTGATTCTTGAGAGCTTAAAATCACAAAAGGGCTTTCTACTCCTTTGTAAATGCTCTTCTTGAATCAAGGGATAGAAAAAACACCGAAGTGAACTGTAAAACAGTGCTTAATAAATATTTATCTACCAAGAGAACTAGGTTCACTGTATTAAAGAGTTCACCCAAAACTTATTCTGTGAAAGACAGCCACTTAATTTTTACCCCGCCCCCACTCCTAAAAATGAGAATGTTACTTATTCCTAAATAATCTCACAAAGAGACCAAAGACAAACTATATAATAGGTGGGAACTCCTCAGAATAACTACAGTGCTATAATTAGCATTATTCTAATCCACCCTTTCCCTTAAGTTCTATGACCTGAAGAGTACCCCTTTAATGGAAAATTAAACATTATTAATATTAGTCCTTCTATCATACTAGACTTATAAAAGCATCTTCAGAGAGGTCACTAAACTCCAAAAATCAAGTTACAATGAAAACTGCTTGCTCCAATTTGTCAAGTAGAAATCCCTACTAATTCACATTGTCTAGCTCTCACTGTAAAATAATTCACAACCACAGTCATATTTATAAAGATTGTCAAGTGATTCTTAAAACTAGGAAAAACTGGATTATGTACAGGGCGGCTTAAAATATAGCAATACTTATCATTTAACATTTTATTCAGTGAACAAGATGTTCAACATAAGTGAATTTCCAGAAAAATTTGAAATGCTAAAAAATTGTTAAAACTTTATTCTAGCCATTTCTTCACGAACATATTTCTGAAAGATATTACTTGTTTCCTATATTCTGAAACAGAAGATCATATAATATTTTGTGGTTGACTCACAGTCACTAGTTCAAATATCCCATTATTATGCTATATGATAATAACCATTCTGGGTTTGCCTTTTAGTTTTTTTTTCTTCCTTGGGTGTAAGATTATCAGCTATCACTTCTATTGTCACTGTGTCTGATTCACAGGCCTTCCACCTCCTTTTTAGGTCCCTGTTTCTAATCTGGCTAAGAAATCAGATAACCAAGCTTGTTAAGAACTAGTAAACAAAAATCAATAAGGCTTCTGAGTGTTAGAAGTCCAAAACAAATAACATGGGCATTAGAGCAAGGAGTTTGTGCCAGTACTTTCTTGCTGGAGGCTGAAATTCACTGGGGATATTACTGTTCTTGCTATTTTAGGGGAAGGACCCTGAAATTTAAAAAAAGATTGATTTCTAAATTCTTAGGGTTTATTGTCTTAATAATCAATTATTTACTGAAGTAGAGGGAGGCCAAAAAGAAAAAGCATCCTGATGGTTAAGATCTTGTCTCTGATGCTTATTAGTTGTGTGACCCTGGCTAAGTCACTTAACTTAACATGCCCTTTCCTCATTTGTAAAATAGAAGATAATAATAGTTGTGACACCAACCTCATAGGGCTATAATGAAGATCAAATGAGATACTGAATCAAATAACACTGAATATAGCATTTAATGTCCTATATAAATGCCAGCTATCATGCTCATCATTGTAAGTAATCAATACCACAAAGATTCCAGAGTACTCAAGTTTTCATTTTAGCTACTTATTACTGAATAAATATTCTTGAAGTAATAACCATAAATGTAAAAATGAATGCAAAAGTATTTTGCAAATATAACCTAGAGTGGCAAAGAAACCAAAACAAAGATAATTGTACTGAATACGTATATATTACACAACTCCAGCATCTTTCTGAATTATCAATGAACTATTCTTTAACTAGAAGTTATGTTCCATAAGGAAATTGAGAAACCATAAAAAGTGACCTAGAGCTCAAATTTAAGACAGTCAGTTTCCTTTGTGTGTCCCTTTCAATATTACAAATCCTCTGCTGTCCCTTTAACTGCTATACCCTATAATTACCTTTATCTTACAACCCATCTATTTTAGATAGTTCCAAACCTTAGATGAGTAACAATTCTGATGATAATCTGTTCATTTTAGAAAAGTGAAACAAAGTAAAGGTATTTTGTTCTGCCCTCCTCAGAAATCTGCATTGAGGGGCAAGGAGAAGATAAAGCTAGTGGTTTAGGGAGGGATGGTAACCAGGGCCAGGTAGAGCTGTAGTGGAACGGAAAAGATCCAGAACACTGTTTTAATATGCCCAATTCACAGATATGAACTCTGGACAGTCTTTAAAACATACAATCATGGAAAACTTCCTTCAGACTTCTACAACAAAGCAAAGTCTCTATTCTAAATTACCAGGCTTTGTTTTCCTAAGTTGTCCTGGACATCAAAGAAATCAAACTCTTTGGCAAACACTTTAATTCATTATCGAAAATGCTATACTTTCTCTTTATTACTTCAAATATTCTCTGGACATTTTTTTTTTGTAAAATAAAGTAAGCACATCCTGCATAAAGACTACTTTGCCAATACGATGCCATATATAATATAAATAGATATCTTCTCATTCTAAACACTCCCTTTGGAAAAAAGGTATTTTTGCTTTTTCTCAACTCTCCCTCAAGGCCAGAAGAAACATTTTTGAAAGTTCAAAATGACTAACTTTGCTAAATAATTTATACAAGTATGATATGCCACTACAAAAGAATACCTTAAACCAACATAATTAGGTAAAAAATACTATAAGACATCATCGAACATCTACATTTTCCACTGATAATTGAATCTGCCTACTGAGTTTAAAATTTTCATTTCACCAGATATAATCATTATAAGAAAGTCCTGACAGTAGTGTGGGCTAGTTTACTTGAAGTGAGAATCAAATATAAGTATCATTTCAACAGAATGCCAATAATTATAATTGACATTCAGTCTTGACAACCCAGTATCAGACAAAAATCAGACCATTTATCAAGTCGGCACAGGTACTACAACAAGCTGGTTCATTAAGAGTTACAAAATACCATTAGTGGCTGCTCTGGTAGTTGTTCACCAAAGTATCTTTTGGAAGATACTGTTTAACCTTAAATTATTCCAGACACTTGAGGGGAAAAAATGAAATAAAGTAACACATAAAGACTGTATTACTAATGTAATCAACATACCTAACTCTCATTTTGATCCCTTAAATATCTTCAACTTAAGTATAGCATAACCTGTAAAAACTGATTAGATTAAAAGAAAAAAAATACCTCAATCGAGTTCTGAATCACTGGAATTTTTGCTATATTTCCTGTTAATACACTGATAGCATCAACATTCAACACATTCTGTCTGTACAAGTTTAAAAAGAACTTTTGTACGATCCCCTAACACTAAATTTATAGTTAATTCAGTCTGCAGTTCATCTACCTGACACTGCTCGAATTATTTTAGTTATCAAATGCTCAGCCAAAAGTTTATAAAATGAAAAAAAAATGAATTCAAAACTAACAAGTAGTTAATAAAAGCCTACTTCTTAGGTGCTATTTAGAACTGAATTTTTAAAATGCAAGTTTACAATTAAAATCTTACTTCACAAATGCAAAATATTTTCTATTTGTATATGTTGACAATTCCTTGACAGTGTAAAACGTATATTAAACAATGGTAATAACTGAGAGTACAACAAAAAAACCTTACTCCAGTCTGCTGCATGTCGAGTTTGAAATTGCATAAGATTGATCAATACTTTGTTTTATATGAATTTGTTAAAATGAGCTTCCTTTATGAAAAATGAATGAATCTGACCTTAATACTATTTACTTAAAAAGAGACAAAATGGACGCAAAATGAGATTCCTTTTGGTAGTGTTAAGGTCATTACCTATTTGTGACCAAATTCTTTTCGAAGAATAAAAAGTACTGAAAATCTTCTAATTAGAACCGGGACCTCATTAATACGGGGGTGCGGGGGGAGGGCCGAGGGGGAGAGGACCGAGGAAGCGGCAAATTCCCTCTACTAGAAACCTCTCTTATCAGAAACATTTGAAGAATTTCTCCACAACAATTATGTTGACTCGAAGAATGGGAACCCTAACATCTCAAATATACTATATATGGAATCGAACAAGACCAAACACATAAATACACAAACTCACACGGTCTCTGACACTTTGGTATACAAATCGGTCGGATGAACCCCAGAGCACGGACAACACAACCACGCACCTGTCACCTGTAAGAACACAACTAGCTACTCTCTCTCCACCCCATTCTCCCCCCCGCCCCCCAAACAAACATACATTCCATCCACCTTAGCCGGATCTGTAGCTGATGGGACAGAGGCAGAGAAAGAGTAAAGATTAAAAAAAAAAACCACAACAAAACCCCAAACCAAAAACCCCTCCGGGAAGACAGAGAGACCCCTTTAAAATGGGCGTCATTAAAATGGATGGAGAGGAAGGAAGGACCGGTATCTCCCACTCCTCTCAAGTACTCCAGCCCCTCCCCCCCGCCCAAAGTCTTCCTTCCCCAGAGCAGCGCCCCCCGGAAAGTTTTCTTCCCCCACCCCCCCACCCCACCCCCATTTCAATCACTAGCGCACACAGAGACACTTTTACATTTGGCTAAGGGGCGGATCGAGGGCAATGGGGCAGCGGCAGCAGGAGCAGCAGCAGCAGCAGCAGCAAGAAGCCCTCCCCCACCTTGGGGCTCTCCCCGGTGCTGGGCTCCGAGGAAGCCCCCGGGCGGGCTCGACGCTCCCCTCCGCCCCGCCCCCCCGCCCCGCGCCGGACGTCCTCGGGCTCGGGAAGACCCTCTCTCCACCTTGCCACCGCGGGGGGAGGGGGAGAGAAGGGAGAGGGGGTGTGGAAGGGGAAAGCGAGAGGAAGCAGCAGGCGCCCCAGGCGCACGGGCCTGCAGAGCCCGGGGAAGCTCCTGCCAGCCGGGGCCCGAGGGAGGTGCGGGCAGCCGAGGGGAGAAGGGGGGAGGAATCCGGGGGAGCCCCGCAAAGGCCCGGCAGCGCGCTCCGCTCACCCTTCGCCGTCGTCGCCGCGGCCGCTACCGCCGCCGCCTCTCCCACTAGGGCAGCCGTCTCCGTCTCCGTCTCAGTCTCCGCAGCCGCCGCCGCGGCCACCGCCAGCGCCGCCGCCGCCTCCTATTCCACCCGGCAGGGGGGACACCTCAGCGCTCCCTCCCTGCTCAGCTCCCTCCGATCTGCTGCCTCCGCCGCCGCTTCTCGTGGCCGAGGGGGAGGGGAGACGAGGAGAGGGGGTCGGGCTGGGTCGCCCCGCCGGCGGCAGCAGCAGCAGCAGCAGCAGGTCGAAGGCGATGGGGTGGGTGGGTGGCGGCGCCGCTCCCCGATCCTCTCCGCTCGGCTCGGACTTGCTCGGCCTCCCTCCCTCTTCCCCCACCCCCCCGCTCACGCTCCAGCCCTCCCCCCACCCCCCCAGCGCTCTCGCTCGCTCTCGTTCTCTTCGCCAGCAGAGTCCAAACCAAAATACTGTCACACAATATGGCGGCCCGAGCAGCGAGCAAACACCGCGAGATTTCGGCTCCCCCGGCCCCCCCCATACACACTTACACACACATACACACACCCCTCCAGTCCTTTCCCCTCCCTCCCGCCAGCCGGGAAGGCGGGGGCTGACCCGACGGAGGAGGGATGCTCTTGCTCTGCCACCTTCTCAATTCCTCTCTCTGTGTCTCTCTGTCTCTCTCTCTCTCTCTCTGTGTCTCTGTGTCTCTCTCTCTCTGCTCTCCCTCGTTCTCTCTTTTACCTACTTTCTCTCTTCTTCTCTCGTTCTTTCTTCCCCTGTCACTCTCATTCTCTCAATCTCTCTTCCACCACTGTCCCTCTCTCCGTCTCCCGCTCTCGTCCTCTCTCTTCTCTCGTTCTTTCTCCCCTCTCTCTGTCACTCTCATTCTCTCTCACCACTTTGCCCTTCTCTCTTTCTCTCGTTCTCTCTCCCACTCACTTGGTCCTCTTTCATTCTATTTCTCTCCCTTTCTGTTAATCTCTCTCTCCCACTTTCCCTCTCTCTCCCTTTCTCCCACACCCTTTCTCTCTCTTGCCTCTCTCTATTTTCTCCCTCCTCACTCTTTCTCTTTCCCTCTCTTTCTCACTGTCTCTATTTCTCTCCGTGTCTCTCTTTGCCTCTATGTTTCTACCTGTGTTTTTCTCTTTTTCCCTCTCTCATAGACAAATACACACCTCTCCTTAGTTTAAAGTAAGAAAGTGACTCCAGGACAAGCCCCTACCCCTACAACTAAGGGGAGACAATTCCAGCAGAACACAGCCAGAGTTTGATTTAAACTGATGAAAGAAAGAGAGCTTTCCCTAACCGCCGTTCCATCTCCATTTCCCCACACCACAGAGCATCTTGTCTTGTTCCTAAGAACGAAGAGATGGAGCTCCTAGGTGGAGGTTAAGAGAGCTGAATACCAGAGATGCGCTACTGAGTTCACTCTGTTCCTCTTTTTCTCAGTCTTTCACACACACACACACACACACACACACACACACACACACACACACACACACACACACACCCCTTCAAGTCTAGTACAGATGGCCAAGCAAGGAAGGAGGGGGAAGGGAGATAGGAAGCCCTAGGAGTAGGGGAGATGCTGTTGTTGCTCCTTCTGGTGAACTCTACTTCTCTGTGCTCTGCCTTAGGTACTGAGGAAAGGGGGAGGAGTATGTGGTGAGGGGAAAAGGGAGGAGGAAGCATAGTGGAAAGGAAGGAATAAGAGATGCTGAAACTGCTGCTGTTCTCTCCTTCCAACTTTGGTTTCTGTGTGGGACCAACCATGGAGGGGGATGGGAAATGATGCCTTGCGGTTGCTTGGGATGCAAGACATCCCGATTAAGTGGTGGGACAGAGGACTCAATCCCCTCAGATCAGCAAGGGGGAGGTGAAGCTCTGCTGGTTGTGAAAGAACGAGGCATAACAGGGGCATGTCACAGCAAATGAGTATTTATTTTTTGGCAGTCTAGGAAATTATAAGTGAGAGGACCTAGTTTACTGACCTTGGATCTACCCCAAAGTAACAGCTTTTAAGGATTTCAAAAAGAGTTGGATACTTAGTGTTTTCAAACCTTTAAAAAATTAATCTTAATGTTGTTTATGTTTTTTTTTAATTTTATTTTAATTGTCCATTCCTAGAAGTCCTAGGAACAGAGCCAGAAACATTTAAATATTGTTGTGAGGTGGGAGTGGGACATAATTCAAGCCTTTTCTATTTCCCCAAAAAGGGGAACATCTGTTTAGTTTCCTTCAATAAATGGACTATCACTAAAAGATTTCTTACAATTTGGGGTATTTATTTGAAATTGTAGTGGTCTAACAAAATTCTAAAACAGTATTGTTTGTATAGTATCTCTATCAAAAATGCCCAGGTTCTTCCTTCAAAAATTTCTTAAAATTTACCCTTCTAACAGTTCTGAAAGACAAGATTATTTTCTTCCTTGTAATTACAGTCTGATTACTGTAGATCCAGTGAGAATTTTAATATTTGATGCTGTCTTTAAAGTTTTGAGGTTTCTTTTCCCTACTCCTCTTAAAAAGATACTAAAAAATCAGTAAGTCAAATCAGCAAGCATTTATTAAGTGCCTACTATTTGCTAGGCATTGTGCTAAGGACTGGTCTGAAATCGGATGTAATGTCACCCAGTTTAGGTCCTGAACATACTTTAAAGAACATTTATGCATTTAATTTTTTTTTCAGAATCTTCTTTTAGAGTTGAAATTTTGATATGTATTCCCATATGAGAGCCAGCATGTGGTAGTGGGTAGAGACCAAAGAATCAGGTAGACTCAGTGGGAGTCCTGCCTCTGACACAGAGTGGCCTTATGACCCTGGGCAAGTCATATCTTGATGCCCCATGCAACTCTAGGTGTAGGTCTGCTTTGGTAGAGAATGTGTTTCCTCATTAGAAGTTTCCCATACCAATGAAATCACAGATCCAGTACAAATTTTCACTCTATTGGTGATCTTGAGAATCAAGAAAATTGGGATTTCTTTAAAAACAAAGATTTTATATTTTGTTTCATCCACTGGTGAATGGAAAACTGGTGAAAATATAAACTCAGATGATCTCTGGAAAAACTATTATTATTAATTTGAAGAGAATTGCTGAAGTAATTTTAGATGATAATAATTAAATTATTTGTTAAATAGACTACATCTTTGAGATCTCTGCAAGGCCCTCTTCTTATAGAAGATGAAATATATTTATGTGAAAATGGTTCTTTGTAAAAATTAGCAAGGAAGGTTACTTAGTAACAGTATGGTATAGGCACTGAACTTGGAGGATTTGGGTTTGAGTATAGATCCATGACCTTGGGAAAGTACTTCCTTTCTCAAGGCCTGGATTTCCTCATTCATAAAATGAGGAAGTTGTACTAAGTGATTACTAAGGACTAGTGTAACTCTAAGTCAATCCTATGATACTCCTATGATGATAGAGTCCTGGTGACTCTACCTTCTTGGTCTCAGTGACATTCCTTCTTTTCGATTCTCATTGCTGTCATCACCTCAGAATGTGACACTAAATGCGGCACATTTAGCTATCCTACTCATAACTGGATAATCATAAATGATTCCCACCTCAAAATTTCTATAGCATTTTATTTGGGCCTTTCTTTTGCATTTGTTACAATCTGCCTTGAAATTAGTTGTATACTATCTTGTCTCTTCTGTCTGACTATAAGCTTACTGAGGGTAAGAATTATGTTAAGATGAGCTTGGGAAGCAGAAGGCTCCTGGCAGCCCTTTTTACTATTTTTGTTATCCCCAGTATCTGGCACAGTGCTTTATAAATGCTTGCTAAATTTGTTGTTGAATTGAATTTATTTAATTCAATTCAAATTTTTCTTTTTAGGCAATTGGGGTTAAATGACTTGCCCAGGGTCACACAGCTGGTAAGTGTCAAGTGTTTGGTCTGAGGCCGTGCTCTATCCACTGCGCCACCTAGCTGTCCCTCAATTCAATATTTTAATACACCTACTATATGCGAGGTGTTTCGGGGTATACTGGTAGGAACACACTCTTGCATCCAAATTAGAAGGCCTTATATTTCAGAAAGTTCTCCCACACTCCAAATGGAGACATATTAGCACAAATGTCTATTTTTCCACTACTGCAGGGCTCAATGACAGACTTGAGATTCAATAAGGGAAGTTATAGAACAGTTTTAGGAAGTCAGGTCTTACTTCCTTTGCCACAGATTTCTAAGTGAACTTAGCAAGTGATTTTACTTAAACTCAAATTTTTTGATTTCTCCATTTGCAATTTCATTAAATGCAACTCAACAAACTTTAAAAAAAAGCATTTTCCAAGTTATGTACTAAGCATTAAGTGTTTAAAGAAAAAAAAGTACAGTCTTTGATCTCACAGATTTTACATTCTGAGGGAAAGAGCATATACATATAAGATATATAGAAGAACATATGAAGGTAATCTGAAAGGGGAGACATTAGCAGCTGAGGAGACCAGAAAAGCATTAGGGTTAACATGCAAGCAACTATGAACATACAAGATACATACAGAATATATCATGGTAGTAATTGTAGAGGAGAAGGGGGTTGGGAAGGAAGAGACAAAAACACTAGGAAAGGTTTCCCAGAAGGTGGGATTTGATCTGAGTCTTGAAAGAAGCCAGGGAAACCAAAAGGCAGTGATGAGAAGGCAGAGAACATTCTAGGCTTCGGTACAGCCAAAGCAAAGATACCAGGAAGCTATACAAAGTATCATATTTGATGAATTACAGGTAGACCAGTATATCTGGCTTATAGAGTGTGAAGAAGAGGTTAGTAAAATGTAAGAAGCCTGGAGGTAGATTGCAGTGGGGAGAGATTTGAGACAACATCAGTTAGAAGGCCTTTGCAGTAGTCCAGGTGAGAAGGAATGAGAGCCTGAAATTAGAGTGGTGTTGTTGAGAGAAGGTGATATATTCAAGAGATGTTGTAAAAGTAGAAGCAACAAAGTTAGGGTGCTTTGCTCAAATACTTGGTAAATATTACTTCCTACCAAGCTGAAGAAAAAACCATTCAATTGTCTATACTACTTTTTTTCTCTTTAGAACAGAGAAAATGGTTCATCTAATAGAGTCTTAGTCAATAAACATAAGCACCTACTATGTGCCAGCCACTGTGCTAATCACTTAAAAAGAAATACAGTCCCTGCCCTCAAGGACTTAACATCTAATGGGAGAAGACAGTACTCAAAAGGAAGCAGAAGGGTTGGGGGCACCAGAGCATATGTTTGTGGAACCAAAACCAAGCAAAGCAGCTGATGGAAAATGAAGACTTCAGTTGGGAAATTCTGAGCCCTCTATAAAAGAAGACATTGGGAAGAGGTTGC